ACTCTAACTCATGAGGTGGGGCTGACTTAACTTTCCCAGGAAGGTTGTGAGTTTCTCAGGTGCAGGGGCGGTGACTTAAATACATTTCATATCCCCCCATCTTTACCCCTTTCTCACCTTGACATATATGTGTACCTGTATAGAGGTAGAACATCTCTGTAAGACCCACCCAAGAAACTGACAGCAGTGAGTGTCTCGGGGAAGACCGAAACCAGGAGGAGGAGATTTACTCTTATGTTACATTCTTGAATATATTGCCATGAACATAATAATATTTTTAAACTGCCTAATAAAGAAATATGATAATTCACATCTCCATTTTCATTTCATTTTGTGGAGGTAGCATCCTATATTTATCCAACCCCTATTTAGGGGCATCCTGATTTCTGCATCTTGCCAAGGGAAGTTGCGTCACCTCTCATCAACCTGGAAAGGCTTCCCAGAGGAGGTGACTTCTGGCAGATGAGTAGGAGTCAGAAGAGGCAGGGTAGGACATGAGGAGAAGGTATTCTAAGCAGGGGGAACTCAATAATGAAGGTGGGAGGTGGGAGAGCGTGGCCCTTGTGAGGAAACGCAAGGAGGGAGGGGGATGGGTGGCGATGAGGCTGGGGGTGCCGACAGGGCATTTACGGCTCTTGCAGCGCCCTAGGAGCTTGAATCTTGGACCCGATCCCAGGCACAGTGGGGAACCATTGAAATAATCTGGGGCTGGCAAGCAAGACTGATCAGCTGTACGAGTCAGCAGCACTGTTTCAGGAAAAGCAAGACTTAACCAGCTCTTTAGCTGTATCACTTACCAAATACGCGTTTACTCACAAGGAGGGCTGGTTTCTTACTGTCACCTCTCATTCCAGCCTGCGGCAGGCTCCAGATGGAAAACAGGCACAGAGGTGTGGGAGCAGGGGACACCCCTAACTCTGTAAGAGGCCTCAAGAGTGTGATGGAGAAAGCCTTCCCAGGCTGAAAACTCAGACTCAGAGCTCCCCAGACAGGCAAAGGCAGGAAAGGTCCTTCCAGGCAGAGCGACTGTGGGAGGAAGCTCAGGGCGCATGCGCAGGGAATTAGGCTTGACAGGTGAGAAGGGACCAAGCGCTAATGAGGTTGGTCGGTTGGTTTTTTTCACATTTTATATCACTCCCTATGAGGTTGGTTTTTATTTATTTATTTATTGAGATGGAATTTTGCTTTCGTTGCCCAGGCTGGAGTACAATGGCACAGTCTTGGCTGACTGCAACCTCTGCCTCAGACTCCTGAGTAGCTGGGATTACAGGCACACGCCACCACGCCCGGCTAATTTTTGTATTTTTAGTAGAGACAGGGTTTCACCATGTTGGTCAGGCTGGTCTTGAACTCCTGACTTTAGGTGATCCACTCTCCTTGGCCTCCCAAAGTGCTGGGCTAACAGGCGTGAGCCACGGCGCCCAGCTGAGATTGGTTTTTACTGAGCTATTTTATAAATCATCTGGGGCGCTTCAGAAATCCCCAGACCGACCCAATCAGAACTTCCAGGTGATGCCTTTAATCTGATGACTCTGGGAAACGTGGCTGTAGTCTAGACAGAGAGTTCTCTAGTGTAGTTGCTGGCTAAGGCCGTAAGGAGGGGCCCCACCCACACTGCAGAACCTGTCAGTTTGGTAGGCCTGGGAATGAAGGCGGACCAGTTCTTCCTGTGAGGTGCAAACAAAAACTGGAAAAACAGCGAGACAGACGCATCTAGGTTCTTTCTTGGCGTGGCTGAGGTTGCACCATGTCAGACTTTGGCCATTACTGAAGCCCTCTCAGCAGGGGCCTCTGTCCTTGCCAAGAAGCTAGAAAGAACTAGAGGACAGATGAGTCAGAACGGAAAGGCATGAGGTTTCTGGGCGTCCAGGGGTGCTCACCCGTCCCTCAGGGCTTCCCCTCCTGCTCTGCCCCTTTCTCATCCCCACCCAGGATATCTTTCTCCCTATAAGTGAGAACCCCCCCCCCACCACCACTCCCCAGTCCCCACTCTGCAGTCAGCCTGAGGATGCAAGCAGGAAGCTGTTGGAGCTTGAGGGAAGGGAAGCAGGAGTGAGTGCCCGTGATGCTGGTGTCTTTGTTCTCTGAGCTGGATAGAAACTAACCACGGGGCAGCCTGCTACCAGCAGCACTGGGGTTTTTTTGTTGCTGTTGTTGTCGTTTTGTTTCTTTTTGTTTTGTTTTGTTTTTTTGAGACAAAGTTTCATTCTGTTGCCCAGACTGGACTGCAGTGGTGGGATCTTGGCTCACTGCAACCTCTGCCTCCCGGTTTCAAGCAATTCTCCTGCCTCAGCCTCCCTAGTAACTGGGATTATGGGTATGTGCTAAAATAGCTCAGTAAAAACCAATCTGCTATTTTTAGCAGAGACAGTTTCACCAGTTGGCCAGGCTGGTCTTGAACTCCTGACCTTAGGTGATTCACCTGCCTCAGCCTACAAAAGTGTTGGGATTATAGGCCACCACTCCCGGCCCAGCAGCACCGGTTTTGCAGGGCAAACATCGTTTGTCTGGAGTTAATCATATGGCCTACATAAGATGTGGTCCCTCCGGATTCCCAGCTGGCCCTGGCACTTGGAGCTGGAGAGGGCATGTTGACAAGAGTGAGACTCCCTGATGATGTACTGTGCTGGCTCTCAGATGGTAATGTCAGGTGCCTTTGTCTCGGAGAACCCTTCCCATCCCACTTCAGTTACTCAGCAAACATTGATTTGAGGCCCTGCCGTTCTGGGCCTGGGGCCCAGAGGAAGAAAGGCATGACCCCAGCCCGTGAGTGCTGGCTGAGAAGCACACAGAGGCAACGCTGCCGAGATGAGCAGGGAGAGGGCTGAGATGCCCTGAGGACAGCAAGGAGGGCACTAACCCGGAAGGGGGGCCGCAGAGATGCCTGAGCTGAGTCTTGAAAAGCCAGGCGAGCTGCTCACCCCAAAATAAAGTTTTTTCTGGCTGAACAAACCAGCCAGGGGGAAGAGACCGCAGTGCGATTTCAGGGCTAAAACGGGAGTGTTTACAGATCTCCCTTCCCCAGAGACCCTCGTGCTTGCCCCCCACCCGCAACCCCCCCCCCCGACTCCCACAGTACCTCCCGAGGGAAAAAGAGCAGAAAAGGCCCCAAGGGGAGGTATTGCTGGCAGCCGGGGGTGGGGAGAAGCTGCTCAGTCTTCTGCTGAAGGGTGGAGTGGGGAAGGAGCTGGGGTCATTCCTGGCTGTTGAACTGCTCTGCCAGAGTGGGGTCCTGTGGCGCAGTTAACTCCACAGACCGTCCCGACGGCTCGGAGGAGGGGGCTTTCCCACCGCTGCTGCTCTGCCCACCAGACCCGCTAATCCTGGCGGCCACTCATTCATTCGATGGTTTGTTGAATGAATAGTGAGGGGCACCTTCTCCGAGATGCTAAAGATACAGCCACAGGCCTTCGTTCTAGTGGGGAAGACAGAGAATGATCAAAGGAGGAAAGGAGGAAGATAAGAAAGGGAAAGGGGGAAGAGGTGGACTGGTCATGTGGGAGGGAGGGTTCGGTAACAGCAGGCGTGCGGCGGAGGCCTGAGGAAGGGCAGGAGGCGGGAGGGAGGGGAGAGGAATCCCAGCCGAAGAACAGCACCTGCAAAGGTCCCAGGCACGCCTGTCCCAGGAGCCCACGAGGCTGGGCGGAGCAGGAACTCACTGTGCCCGGAGCCCAGCTCTGCGCTCCTGCGTGCCTGCGGCCCACTGCTCCCTAGCGCCGGCAGTTAGGCAGATTGCTTCATCTCCCTAAGGCTCAACATCTCTGTCTGTAAAATGGGAAGAATGGTGTTACCGCACCATGGTGTTCTATGTACTTTTTCTAAATAAATGGCAGCTATTAGCAAACTTTCCCAAAGGGGATTTGGAACAAGATGAGACACTAGTCTGTCTGTCTGTCTTTCTTTTTTGATTTTATAAAAATATCTTAAATTACACCAAGAGCAACACATGCTGTGTGTGGGGTGTGTGGGCATCAAGTACCAGCAACCACAAATCACACTCACGCCTTCCCCCCCTCCTCGCAGGCAGGGCTTGCCCCCATCACTCCGGAGCTGCCTTACAGGCACCAAAAGCAAGGCCGGGAGGAGCCAGGAGCTTGGCTGGGTCTGGGTAAGAGAATGTCAGAGCCAGAATTAGGCTGCAGTCATCTTCCAACGAAGCAGAGAGTTTCTCTTTGAATGGACACTTCCTTCCACTTTCTTTCCACCTGAGTAAGCAGAAGCCTTAAGGGTTTAAGCCTTTTTCAGAAAGTCTGGAGTTATGGCTAGTGTAAGGAGACAACATCTCCCTTTTCATCTTTGGTTTTGAACGTGAGTCACTGGGAGGTCCCACGGCGACTGGCCTAGGTCTTCGGAAAGGTCTCGGGGATGAGAGCAGGTTGTAGCAATCCTGCTGTGGCCCCCACCCTGCCGGACAGCCCATGCTGGGCGATGGATGCCACAGCTAATCTGGAATGTTCCGCTCCATTGTCCCAAGGCCAGCCCTTCTCCAACCTTCTCCGGAGCCATCCCACCCGGCCGATGCCTCCTGCCCCTCATCATCAGAGCGCAGCACGGCCCAGCTCTCTCTCCTGCAGGACACACAGGCCTCCCTGCCCTGCCTGGCCCAGTGTTCAGCTCTCTCAGAGCCCAGCCCATCCTTCTGCAGGTCAGCGACAGTGGGAGAGATCAGTGCAGACCTGTCCTAGAGGAGCCTGCCAGAGCAGGGGAAGAAGTCACAACAGTGAGGAAATCGAGTGCTAATTTTTTTTTTTCTTAGACAGAGTCTTGCTCTATTACCCAGGCTGGAGTGCAGTGGTGTGATTTCAGCTCACCACAACCTCGACCTCCCAGGCTTCAGTAATCCTCCCACCCCAGCCTCCCAAGTAGCTGGGACTACAGGTGTGCCCAGCTAAGCTTTTTTTTTCTTTTTTTCTTCCTGGCAACTTTCATTCGAAAATTTTTAATTTTTTTGTAGAGATGGGGTTTTGCCATCTTGCCCAGGCTGGTCTTGAACTCCTGGGCTCAAGCAATCCACCAGCCTCAGCCTCCCAAAGTGCTGGGATGACATGCAAGAGCCACCCTCACCTGGCCTGAGTGCTGAGTTAAAGGAAAAAAAGAAAAGTCTTGGAGGCCAAAGGTGAAGCCCTGGGTGGAAGTTGACCTCCAAGCGGGAAGCAGGCAACCCAGCACAAGCCTAGGCTCCGAGTGAGGCTGAGAGAGAGGAATGGCCCCTGCTCCATGGGGAAGGCAGCCTCCGACTGTGGCTGATGGGCTGGCAGTCACATAAGGACTGGCTGGCAGGAATGGGCATCTAGCTGCCTCTGCTGCTCCCTCGGGCTGGGGATGATGGTGCCAGTCAGGGCTGCATGGCTGTCAACAGGCACGGTGGGTGGGTCGGGGTCTGTCAGCTGCAGTGGCTGAAACACACAGCAGCAGCATCAAACCCAGTCTGAGATAGTCATGAAAGAGATTTAGAAAAAGACAGTGATTTTTCCCCCCATTTGCTTTTTCTATAAACACTCCAAATTGATGTATGACAGCAATCGCTCTCACTTATTGCTCATTTAATGTGTGGCAGGTGTTTTCCTGCCATTAGCTCATTTAATCCCCACACAAATCTGATGAGGTCTTATCACTGTCTTCACTATACAGATAAGTAAACAGGGGAGTTTATCTCCAGGGAAGTTAAGAAAGTTTACCAAATAACTTGAACAAGCTTTAAACGGAGGTCTTACCCAGAGACAACTTTAACCACCAGACTGGCTCTACTACATTTTCTTTAAACAGCTTTTTGGAACGGGATTGACCTGGCTGCAGGGTTTTCCTCTGATTCCCAGTTCTTTGGATTCAATCACATTTAAATCAGTCCTCCTGTTTCTACCTAAAAAAAAAAAAAAAAAAAAAAAAAAAAAAAAAAAAAAAAAAACCCAATGCTTATAATATTTACATATTTATTAGGAGTCTCTTATCTCTGCAATGGTATGTTTCCCGGATAATTTTTCTGATGAAACCCAGAAAAGAGAAAGAGAAATATTGATTGAAGCCTATATTGTGACAAGAATTTTGCTGAATAAATGTTTCTTTTCTTTTCTTTTTTTTCTTTTTCTGGAGACAGAATCTCACTGTCACGCAGGCTGGAGTACAATGGTGTGATCATGAATATTTTTCAAAATATTAGATCACTAGCTAGGCTTTAGAGACCCTTTGTCATGAAGAGAGTTTGATGGGATGGAATTGCTGTAATGTCCATACTTGCTTACATTTACCAAAGGTTACAGTGTTCCCATGCATCACCTTCCGCTGGGCAATTTACCTTTGCTCACTAGGCATTGGCTAGTGGAGAAATGGTTTACGTTCAACAAAGAGGCCGAAAGCACACAATGCATCTCTACGTTAATTTTTCAAGAAAAACACCTGCCCAACCTTAAAAAATCAGTAACCCTGAAAATAGGGACTACCCTGAAACTGTACACAGCTAATTGGGATTAAAGTAGCCCTCAGAGCTTTTACTGACATCTCCTGACCTCTGCTGGACACATCTGGGATTGCATAGCTCCTAGGTCCTTGAAAGTAATCAGCAAAGTAAGAACCTTGAAGTTTACAGAATGCCTCATTCTAAACCTCTCATTTCAGAGATGAAGAAAGTAAGATTCAATGGGCTTATGTAACCTACACAAGAGCACACAGTTACTTAGGCGTATTCAGAACCAGCACCTAGAAATGATTTATTGCCCAATAAACCACAGGGGCAAGTATTGATTAACTTCATTGGAATGAATAAATACTCTGGATTATTCATTCCAGACTGGCTGGAACCATCATTTTTAGAAATAGGAACAGCTGACACAGACAAAGTGGTAACCAAGAATCAAAATTAGAATTATTTGAGCAAGGTCATAGTTACCTTTATATCCCGTATCCCACATCCCCTAATTCTGTAATTATCTTCAGTGACCGTTTGGTGATGTACATGGAGTAACAAAGAAGAGAGTCAGAGATGCCGGGCGTGGTGGCTCATGCCTGTAATCCTAGCACTTTGGGAGGCTGAGGTGGGTGGATCACCTGAGGTCAGGAGTTCAAGACCAGCCTGGCCATCATGGTGAAACCCCATCCTAAAAAAAAAAAAAGAGAGAGTCAGAGAATTCATTTTCACAAAAGCTCTTTTTTAGCTGCAATTTTCTCTCCCTGATGGTAGTTTGTTAAAATGAATTTGTCTTCCTAGAGGAAACTTCAACTGACCATAGGAAAGAAGACTGCCAGGGTTAAAAGGATTGTTCCTTTCAAGAACCAACTCTGCCAGTGTCCCTGCAGAGACACATGGAACCCAGGGGAGGTTCCCAGAGGTCTCTGATGCTTCTTCGGACAGGAGTTTCAGGTGCTCCTATTATATCCAGGCTGTATCTAGAAGTGAATGACCGCCAAACTATGTAGTCAAATTATCCCACATTTTAGAATCTCCAAGTGTATAGTGTTAACTAAAGGAGTATTGTATTTAAAAGAACATAAGCTCTACAGCCATGCAGTCAGTGGCTGCTTACTAGCTGTGTGAGCTTAGGTAAATGACTTAACCTCTGTAAGCTTCAGTTTCCTCATCAATAAAACAGGAATCATAAATGATATTTTTCTAGAAAGCTGTTTGAGAATACACGAAATGGTGTGTGTGAAAATCCTTAGCACAGTACCTGGTGCTATGGGCCAAGGGTAGGGATGATATTTGATTTCTTGCATGAAATTAAATATACACCAGATAGGTTTTTTTGTTTGTTTGTTTGTTTTTTTAAGAGACTGGGTCTCTTGGCTGGGGACAGTGGATCTCACCTGTAATCCCAGCACTTTGAGAGGCCGAGGTAGGGTAGATCACTTGAGGTCAGGAGTTTGAGACCAGACTGACGAACATGGAGAAACCCTGTTTCTACTAAAACCACAAAATTAACCAGGCGTGGTGGCGCATGCCTGTAATTCTGGCTACTCGGGAGACTGAGGCAGGAGAATTGCTTGACCAGGAAGCAGAGGTTTCGGTGAGCCAAGATCACACCATTGCACTCCAGCCTGGGCAACAAGAGTGAAACTCCATCTCAAATACATAAATAAATAAATAAATAAATAAAGAGACGGGGGCCGGGCGCAGTGGCTCAAGCCTGTAATCCCAGCACTTTGGGAGGCCGAGGCGGGTGGATCACAAGGTCGAGAGATCAAGACCATCCTGGTCAACATGGTGAAACCCCGTCTCTACTAAAAAATACAAAAAAATTAGCTGGGCATGGTGGCGTGTGCCTGTAATCCCAGTTACTCAGGAGGCTGAGGCAGGAGAATTGCTTGAACCCAGGAGGCGGAGGTTGCGGTGAGCCGAGATTGAGCCATTGCACTCCAGCCTGGGTAACAAGAGCAAAACTCCGTCTCATAAAAAAAAAAAAAAAAAAAAATAAGAGACTGGGTCTCATTCTGTTGCCCAAGCTGGAGTGCAGTGATGCAATAATAGCTTACTGCAGCCTCAAAGTGATCCTCCCACCTCAGCCTCCTGAGTAGCTGGAATTACAGGCACATGCCACCATACCTAGCTAATTTCTTTTTCTTTTAATTATTTGTAGAGACAGAATCTTGCTATACTGCTCAAGCTGATCTTGAACTCCTGACCTCAAGTGATCCTCCTGCCTCAGCCTCCCAAAGCACAGGAATTATAGGTGTGGAGCCACCACACCAGGCCTACAGCAGATTTTTTTTTTTTTTTTTTAATTTGAGACTGAGTTTTACTCTGTGGCCCAGGCTGCAGCACAGTGGCCTGATAGTGGCTCACTGCAGCCTCAAACTCCCAGACTCAAGCAGTCCTCCCACTTGAGCTCCCCAAGTAGCTGAAACCACAGGCACCACCACACCTGGCTAATTTTTTGTATTTTTGGTAGAGATGGGTTTCGCTATGTTGCCCAGGCTGGTCTCAAACTCCTGGGCTCAAGCGATCCACACGCCTCAGCCTCCCAAAGTGCTGGGATTGCAGGCATGAAATCATTGTCCCCGGTCTAAAGTGTCTCTTTAAGGCATTTGTGAAAACAGCCTTGTCTATCTTAGATTGTTTTATTGGGTCTTTGAGATATAGAATTATTTCTCCATGACAAATGTATAAGTCAGCACTTTTTAGTGAGAAAAATAAAACTAGCATAAATTCCACCATTAAGATCTGGTGTAGGGGCCAGGCACAGTGGCTCATGCCTGTAATCCCAGCACTTTGGGAGGCCGAGGTGGGGAGATCACTTGAGCCTGGGAGCTGAAACCAGCCTGGGCCACATGGTGAAATCTCATCTCTACTAAAAATGCAAAAATTAGCCAAATGTGATAGTTTGAACCTGTGGTCTTTGTTTTGGAAGGCTGAGGTGGAAGGATCACTTGAGCCTGAGAGGTGGAGGTTGCAGTGAGCTGAGATTACTCCACTGCACTCCAGCTTTGGTGACAGAATGAGACCCTGTCTCAAAAAAAAATAAAATAAAATAAAATAAGACAAAAGGCATGTCTTTGATTATTTGACGCTTTTAAAACATCCTTTAAAAGGGTTTTATATTTTTATATTTTAAACATCCTTTAAAAGAGTTTAAATATTTATAAATACTTTGTGCATTTACGTTAGGTTAATTCCAGGATACATGATACAGGATAGGTGCTACTGTGACATATCTCAATTCATAGTTTCTCATTACTTATTGTATCAGTAGTATTAGTTATATCACTTATGTATGGCTGTATAATAAACCACTCCCTAAACTCAGCAAATAAGCCCAACCACATTGTTACTCGTGATTCTCGAGGGTCAGAGTTTCAGGCAGTGCTCCGCAGGAAGTGCTCCACATGACATCAGTGTGGTGAGTGGAACGTCTCAGAGGCTTCATTCACATGTCTGAGGGCCTAGCGGTGGGCAGGAGAGCAAAGGCACATGACAAGGGATGGATCGAGAGAGGCATGATTCACTTCAGAAGGTCCCAACCTGATTGCCACAGAGCCAGGAAAGATAGCTGTCCTGTGTGTTGCATGACTCCAGAACGTGTTCTCTTAACCGTACCCAATATTTTCCAAGAAATCTGTGTCAAGAATCAGACTTAAGTGCTTATATGACAAGGTACTCATCTGGATGAAACACAAACCAAACAGAATTAGATAGAAATGGTCATTAGATTTAGGAGCTTACACTCAAAGAGCCATTCTCTGGCCAGGAAACACAAATTTAGAGCACATTGTGTTAAAGAAGACCATTAAACCCTGGCAGTGATTGCCAACTTGCTGGGACTGGAGAGGGGACCAAGTGAGAGTTTCACATTTCTCAGGTGCTTATGTAGTCTGATAGGCATATTCTAAGGTGACTATTGTTTTAATATGTTTTTAGTCATGATGTCCCATTTATTTTGAAGTTTTTAATAAAATTGGGTTGGGGCATGGAAAGAAATACTTATATTGTTCAAATGGGATTCAAAGAAGTTTGAGAAACTGCAGACCAGGAAAGGGAAGGGAATTATTTACCAGGGGCTGAATTTATGAGTGTGTGTCGGGGGGACAGGTGATAAAGGAATCATAAAGGTACGATTTCTTCCCTTTCTCCTTCCCCTAGCCTGAACACATGTCACATTTTCTAAACTTGATGGGAATTTCCTCCTCAATCTCTGGCCTTGGAGAGAGAAAATTAGGGAAAGAGAAGACCAGGAATGAAAAATTGGAGGGAAATAGGAGACTCTTAAATAAAAGAAAGTTGTTTTGAACATAGGGGAGGAGAAGATATCATCAAAAGCCAAAGTCCAGACTTACGTTTAGGTGTTAGACAGTGTTACTGGAAGGTTGGAAAGCCCAAAGAAGTACCAAAAAGATTCCAAAACTGAGTTTCAAAAAGGGATAGGTAGCCTCGTGGTTTGAGGTGGGTTCTGAGTGTGACATGCCTCTGGATAGGGTTTGGAGATTTGGAGTGGTGAGTGAACAATGAATAACAAAAAGTAGGTAAAGCTTAATGAAGGCTCCCACTCACTCGATTGGCCATGTGAATTTCATCTGCTTTTAATCAGCACAACATTCCCATGGAACATGCACCACTGTTGGTCCCATCTGCCAAAGATCAAGTGGCCAAGCTGGGATTTGAATAGTCCTTCTGGGCCCAGAGTTCAAGCTAGAGTTAGATGTGCCTGACCTGTGTAATGGCTTAATTAAATGTTGGTGTTTATGCAGTGGAAATACATACCGTACAATCAGTTAATTACTTTTTTTTTTTTTTTTTAGACGGAGTTTCACTCTTGTTACCCAGGCTGGAGTGCAATGGCGCGATCTCGGCTCACCGCAACCTCCGCTTCCTGGGTTCAGGCAATTCTCCTGCCTCAGCCTCCTGAGTAGCTGGGATTACAGGCACGCACCACCATGCCCAGCTAATTTTTTGTATTTTTAGTAGAGACGGGGTTTCACTATGTTAACCAGGATGGTCTCGATCTCTTGACCTTGTGATCCACCCGCCTCAGCCTCCCAAAGTGCTGGGATTACAGGCTTGAGCCACCGCACCCGGCCACCTTTGCATTCTTAAGGACAATCTGCTTGTTTCCACTTGGGCAGCTTGTCGAGGAAGAGTGCCAGTTCCTAGAAATCTCCTAATTACTGCCAAGGTGAGCCAAGTGAAAAGTTGGTTACATTTTCTGCAGAGAGTTTAAGTTCATTTAATCCCAGCAATAAACTGGCTTCCAGGAGAAAGGGCTTTTTAAAGGTCTGTGTCAATTAGATGGCGATTATGAAATTCATGATATGGCTAATCCAGTGGCTGAACCTATAATTATCTCGCACCATCCAAGAATCTACAGTATAACAGGCTCTATGCCTCCATTAAAGAGAAGTCAGTTTAATTCTGTGCTGCACTCCAGATTACTTCTCTCCTTTCCTAGATCTCTTCTATCAAAGAGAGCAGACATTTATAAAATGGTTTCTGAAAGCCATATGAGCTTTTTTTTTTTTTTTTTTTGGGTGGATGACCCATGTAAGGTTTATTCTCTGTAAGGTTTATTGCCGAGTTTAAAATGAGGAAACAGCCGGGCGCGGT